AAAGATGAGGATTTCTCTCGAGAGAATGAGAATTTCCCCTGCATACCGCTAGCTCGACAGCGGTCTGGGCGTTACAGTTATGCTTCCCCTGATTCCGCAAACTGTTGGCATGCATACCGCTAGCTCGACGGCGGTCGGGGTGTAACAGTTATGCTACACTTGATCCCGCGTACCATTGGCAGCGTCTAATACAACAAGTATGGCGCCGAAGTGCTCCCTCGGAATCAAGTCATGTATGCTTTAACCATTCTCCGAGTATATGTTGTTCTTCGACCACGCATAAATTTATAATGTTTTACCGTTTGACTTAGAATTCAAACATTAATATTCTAAAGAAATTAAAATTAGCGTCTAAAGAAGATATTTTCTACTTAGCCCGAGTTCTTGATACCGGAACTCGAACTCAGTCCTCCATTTTCGAGAGCCGATACAGGGTACCTATTTGCCTAGCCTCCCAGCACTAGACCCAAATCACTCTGGATAGCAGGATATGAAACTTGAAAACCGGATCAGCTCCTCGAGGCCTTACATGTTTGTTTTGGCCATTATATATTCAGATCCAAATTCTATTGGGACCTTAATCGAAAGATAAGCTCCACCAATAGAGTTAAGAGCCCCAACTGAGCCATGGGATACGTGACATCAGGCGATTCAGTTGATTTTATATTTCCAACATCTATAAAATAAATATGTAGGGTATATTATATTAGGCCATGTACAAAATTATAGAGTAGATATGTAGATCAACATATAAGTTTGAATACATATATTATTTAATTCTCTATTTATTAACAGAGAAATATTAGAAAACCAATTTTTTTTTTATATCACTCTCACAAATTTTCTTAACATTTTTCTTTTTTATTTATTTAATTTTTCTATAGTCATGACTAAACACATTTATTTTTAAATATTACCTATTTTTATTACTCTAAATCCAATAACCAAACACAGTTAAATATTTCTAAATTTGCCAAAAACAATTATTCCAAAGAATTTAATATTAAATTTCAACAAAACTAAAAGAAACTCTTTTCATTTTTATTTTTGAGATCTATGAGTATGTAAAATAAATTTTCAAGATATAGTTAAATGATAATTGATATAAATAAATGTATTTAAGATAAAAACATTAATTAATGATAAATATGATATATAACTCGACTAATTTATAAAGAATTGTATTTTTTAATTTTATATTTTTAATAAATAGTGAACATTTAAAAGATTTTTTTATTATCCTTAAAATACAAGGAAAACATTTTAGACAATTGTGCAACCTACAATGTGTTTTTAGTAACTGTTACTCCCTTCGTTTTTAATAGATAAAAACTTTACAAAAAAATTTTGTTTCAAAATAATGCATTTTTTCTGTTTCCAATGCATAATTAGCCATACTATTTCCTACGATACCCTTATTTATTTCTTTTTGCTTTTTGATTTGTGATAAAATTTGACTAGAATAATTAGAGTGGAATAAATTAGAGAGATGCACAAATTAAACTACCGTCTGTTGTTGCTTCGCTCAATGTGAAGTCAAACGAATAAATTCTTTAATCTAATTTGGCCATAGCACAATTATTAATTCTTCTGATACATTTAAAAAAAATCGTTTTCTTCTTCTTTTCACAAATTCTTCACCACGTTTTGAGAAAAAATGAAAGAAGAAGAAGAAGATGCCATGGAAACTGTTCAACCAATTCATGTAAATGATCTCAAAGTGAAACATGAATTTGATTTGAACGAAGTTCCTGAGATAAATGAAGAAATCAATAATGGTGGAATTGTTCAACCCGAAGAGCAAATTAAAAACAGCCATGGATTCGACTTGAACAGGCTTCCGGAGACAAACGAAGACCAAGATATGGTGGAATTTGTTCAGCCAATGGCGAATGTTGACAAGATAATAAAAGTGGGAAATGAGAGTCTTCAACATGGAAAAGTGATGCAGAGAAAATATGTACACAATAAATACAAAAATCAATCATGTCTTTACATATTCTTACGTGTGTTTAATGGTGGTGGAGTAATAGAAAAAGGTTAGAATTGTAATGTCATTAGATTGACTTATTAGGAATGGAGAGAGTATTATTTACTATTTTTTAAAAATGCATTATCCAATATAGTGAATATAATAGCTCCCAAAGTAAAAAAAAAATTGGTTAACTATGTGACAAAAATCAGCTTACCAATTTACAAAATATAAAACTCAAACACAAAGTAATAATTTTTAGAAATTTTTTGGTTAGTTTGGTATTTCGGTTAGGTGTTGTATAATTAAAGTTTGGTACAGGTAATTTAGTATATAAATTTTTATACCCATTGGGATCGAATTAGTGAATTTTAATTCGGTTCGGTTTGGATTTTGTATTTTTAGTATAAGTAAAAAACCACATTCTTATAAGAAATAATTGCAAATTCAAATATATAAAAATAAATTCAAATGAATTTCATTTCATTCCGCGCATACGCGAATACTATCCTTGTATATTTTAAAGAATCAATACTTTTTTTTAATCAATAAGTATTAAATTTAATTG